CATAATCCCCAGGGCATCAGGTAGAATACCCCGAAGTGGGGGGACATTGGCCCTCAGCTAAAAACTGCTCAATAGATCAAACTGTTTTCTAGTAAGTGAACCATCTTCCAGACAAAAGCTTAACAGTATTTATAGAAATACAAAAATATCCAACATCTAACATCTCACAAAGATAAAATGCATAACATCAGGCATCAAATTAAAAACTACTTGGCAAACAAAGAACCAGTGAAATATGACCCATAATAAGGGGGGGAAATCAATAGAGATAAATCAAGAAATGCCCCAGATAAAAGTATTAGTAGACAAGGATATTGAAACCATAATCATATCTGTATTCTACACATTCAAGAAATTAGAGGAAAGAATATGTCAAGCAGAGACAAGGAAGTTATGAAAAAGATCCAAATAGAACTTCTGGAAATAAATTTTCTGGGCTGAAAAATGAAAAGTAGGTTAGATAGGACCACCAGCAGATTAGATAGTATGGAGTAAAGATTAGTTAGCTTGAGCAAGAGAAAGTAGAAAGAGAAAATGAAATTCAAATTTGAAAAAAAGAAAAATCAGTGGCTTAATTACAGGCTGACTTCTAATTGCAGGTCATTTAAATCTGACCATAACTGGTCTCTGGACTAGATTTACTTTACCAGGAAATGGTAAGACATGGCTACAGAACTTTCTGTCTCTCCAGTTCTTTTCTTTACTTTGCCCTCCTATAAACGTAGGTATTTGTTTTGTTTTAAGACATGCTACTCATTAGTGAGAAATGGACAGGTAACAAGAATAATAAAGATGAAATAAATGTCCTAAAAATGAAATGAGACTTAAGTTTTCATAGATCTTGGTCTTAAGGGTAGTAAACATAAAAATGTACACGAGTTTGCCTTTCTCAGCAGATGTCTCTGAACCCCTTCTCAAATAATATTAAATACACTCTGAATAAATGTTGGGGCCCTGCAGAGAGGAATATTAAAACCTCAAGAAGACAGCATTAAGTTTCTTTTAAATATGTCTCAAAATACTGAAATATAATAGATACCTACGTATTTATATTCCAAATTTTAAAAAAGTCCTTATTTTGTCATATCACCATGAAATCTAATACTTTCATTAATGGGAGAAGTCACAGATGCAGCTAACCTCCCCTTAGCCTACTCTGTTTCCCTTTTTTCCCTCCATACCCAGATGTAATCATCTCCTGAAGATACATATCTTTTTTTTCTGAAGATATTTTTCTTGTTAATAATGTTTGTTTTGCCACACTTATTTACTAAGTAGTATCATTTTATTTTAGAAAATCCCATAAATACCACACTATCATTTAACAATTTAATTCTTGATAGTATATTTAGAGATTTGTGTTGATTCAAATAGACTTAGTTCGTTCATTCATTATATTTATATGGAAATTTTATGTGACATATGACCATTTAGATTACTCCCTTTTTCCCTCTGCTATCACAGTGCTTTGGTAAATTTTCTTGTAAATTTTTTTTTTTAAAAGATTTATTTATTTATTTATACAAGCACTGGGTACAGTCAGAAGCGCGGGAGGGTGAGAGAATTCACCAGAGCCAGAGCGGGGAGCAGAGCAGGCAGAAGGACCGAAGTACACTGCTGAGGGGAGCAGCAGGCGGCAGGAGAGGTCTGCGCGCCATGTGGGACCCTCCTCTGGTGGCGGGGGAGCAGCCGGGGATTGAACAAGCGCTGCAGAGGCTGTGGGCAGCTTCGCAACCCAGTGCTCAACCGCTGCGCCACCGGGGAGGCCCCTTGTAAATGTTTTTTTATAAATATGTGCAAAAGTTTTTTCCAGAAGTGGAAATGCTGGGTTGTATATTTATATATCCTCAACCTCACTGATCTTGCCAAGTGATCATCAAAGGATTACAGTCTACATTGCCACCACAGCGTGTGAACATTCCCCTTCCCTATATCCTTGACTTAACTGGGATCATCGGACTAAAAAAAATCCATCAATGTGCATCTAGAGTCTGTTCTGTAACATTAACTTGTTTCTTATTCATGCTCCAATGCTCATTACATTATTTTTAATTACTATAGTTGTATAAATCTATGTATCTAGTGAGAGGGACTTCCCTCCTTGTTCTGTTAAGATCTATTCTTGGATCTTTATCCCTGTAAGAATTGTTGTATCACTTGCAAAGATCCCTGGAAAGCTCAGTTAGGGCTGTGAATGTAATGACAGTGAATTTATAGATGAATTTCAGAAGAATTGACATCTTTATGATACTGAGTCTTTTTACCCTGGATCATGCTATATCTCTCCAGGTTTACTTTTATTCCTTCAATAAAGTTTATCGTCTTTCTCATGAATTGTGCAAGATTTCTTGCTAGGTACCTTAGAGATCTTGTTGCTGAAATACCATTTTTCACTTATGAGATAGACAAAGGTCTAAAAGGTTAATAATACGCTATACTGGTAAGGTTATGGAGAAACAGGCATTCTTAGATTTTATTAGTGAGTGTAAATTTATACAACCTCCTTGTAGACTTTTCAATAGCTCTAATTTTTTTAATGCACAATTTTATTTTGCTAGAAATTATACTTCCAGAATTATATATATATGTATGTGTGTGTATATATATATATATATATATATAATGCATGTGCAAACACACACATATATGTATATATGACACAGCATCAGGGGCCCTCTTGTGGCCCTATAACCCTATGGGGATGGACCCAGCAGACTGCCCTTGTGTTCATGACCTTGCTCGCAGTTTGACATTCACCTGGTATAACAATTTTGTGAAACCTTTTGTTTTTAAAAGAAAAGATGGTGCCTCTTTAAAATACTCCTGACTTAATAGATAAAAGAACAAAAATTTAAAACTTGTAAAAAAACTTTTTTAAAAAGTGAAATTGGGTCAACAGAATCAATTCCTGAATACCAGCAGAATCACTGGAATTAACTGAATTTTTAAGACATGTTGACTTAATAATCAGACAGAGTTTTTTTTTTAATCTTTCAGGATATTATTCTAGGCATAATATAGAACATACAGAAGAATGTTTCACTCTTTTTAGGACTTTAGAGCTAAGAGAATACTGATTAATGGATACAGTACAAACCTTTATCTGCTGTTTTACTTTCCATGGTTTTAGCCTGAAAATATATAAAGTAAGATATTTTGAGATAGAGATCACATTCACATAACCTTTATTATAGTAAATTGTTGTAATTGTTCTAATTTATTATTAATTACATTATTACTTGCTAATCTCTTCCTGTGCTTAATTTACAAATTAAATTTTACTTTAGGTTTATATATAGGAAAAAAACATTGTGTACATAGGGTTCAGTGCCACCTGTGATTTTAGGCCCTGGTGAAACTTACGCCTTAGGTAAGGGGGAGGCTACTTGTGTGCTTTATTGCACAGAGAATAGACTAAGAAGCTTTGTCATAGTCAGACCTTTAGAAAGGAACAGAACTAGTTTTGCTGAATACAACAGGAAGTTATTTCTTGTACTAATTACTCCATCAATGGAAATAAAAGAGATTTATGAGTGTTTATATTGATTTGTGAGTATTTAAGAATATTTGTATTTTGGTCTTAATTTGGTTGCCCTGCAAGCAACTCTTTAGAGAAGACCCTGGAGGTAGGTAGTTTATTTGGGAAGGGAACCCAAGAAGGTCCAGTGTGGGGAGTAGGGGTTATCGATGAGCAGATTACCACCCCAGGGTAGCAATCCCACAGGTTTGGGGAACCATATCTCAGCATTATCTCACCAAGTCTGAACCATATCTCAGCATTATCTCACCATTATCTCATTGAAGCATTTAGGTACCAGTTTCCCTTCCTCAATGATTGACTGTTGCCCTTGAAGTTAAATTCCAAACACTTCTGGCAGTTCTGCCTGAAGGTGAGTAAGCTTCCTGAGGCTAGAGATGCCCCCAGGCAGGCAGGGGTTTCTCGCACTTGATGCACCCAACCTGTCCACCTTTACCTGCCAATGACTACAGAGCTGGGCCAGGGGACCCACAAAAGGGAACCAATGATGGCTGCCACCATCCCTTTGAGAATTTAAAAAAAATGTTGAATGTATTTTTTAAAGCCCCCTAGGTCAGGAGAGGAATGGTTAAAGGAACAGAGACCTTAGGTCCCAGTGAGACCCTGAAAAAGGCCCTAAGCCTCTCCCCGCAGGGCAGAAAGCATATGTGGAGGTGATTGGCAGAAACCCCAGAGAGAGCAGCCTGTGCTGCCATCACCCGGGGCAATGGCAAGACACACTAGGGCCCAACCAGCATGGTTGTGGGAGCAGAAGTGGGTTGGTGGGGGCAAGGCTGTCTCAAGACCACCCAAAAGAGGCACGGGTGCGTCACAGGAAGCCGGTGACCTGAGGAGGCCTTCCGTTCGGAGAGCAGGTAGCTGTGGCCGGGCCTCTGCAAGGAAGGTTCTGGAGGCCATTTGGGACTAGGGGCCTTTGAGAGGACACTGGCGTAGACAGGGGACAATGATGATGCTCCATCCCAACCTGGGCCGGTGCTTGGGCACACAGTGGGTGCTCATTAATATATCCTGGCTGAATGAAGGGAGCCCAATGAAGAACCAAGCACTCCCCTGTGCCTTGATGCACCAGCAAGCACACAGTAGGCCTTCGGATGCACTTGTGGGCTAGAGGGGCCTATAAGAGCACCTCTATCTGCTTTGTTCCTTTCCAGAAGGACAACGACAGAGGTCCCCAGGAAAGAGGGGGAGCCCAGGCCAGCTTCCCAGATCCCTGTGGGAGGCTGAGGGTGCAGAGACAGCTGGCTCCTGGCACCTGCGGCACACGGGGCGCTGAAGCCAGGAGGGAATACGCCCTCCCACCTCCTGAGCACAGCTAATTCTCATCCCGGGATGCTCCTGCTTGGGTTTGGTCTTGGCAGTGACGCCGTTTGTTTTCCCTGGAGTTGTGCTCCACGGGTTGTGCAAAGCCTGGGAATAGTGAGGGCATTAGGACCAGGCGCAAGGCTGCGCTTGGCGGCAGTGTCTGGCGAGGACGCGCTGCAGGAGCAGCGTGTGAGAGGAAATGAGGCACTGCTGCCGGCGCACATCTGTAGATCCCGCCTGACCTGAAGCATCCATAGGAAGACACCGTCAGCTCTGCTGGATGAGGACCCCCCAGGCGTCACACAGCCCCGGGCCACTCACCTCGGGGGACGCCAACTGGGGACTGAACACCTGAGCAGAATGGAAGGATTGTTTTTTTCCCAAGGAGAAAAGCGGGGTAAAGAGGAGCCAAACAATTCGGCCTGAAGTCCCTGTGAATGAACTTTCAGGAGGCAATTAAAGAAATCCACTCAGGGGGACCTGGGTCCTGTGCTTTGCTTTTTGTCAGTGGGAGCCTGTCTTACACACACTTGGCAAATGTCAGAGGTGGGAAAGAAGCAGGTTAAGTGGCTGGTGAGAAGCCTGCAGGTGGAGCCAGGAGCCCGGGTTCTGCTGCAAGTGTGAAGGAACCTGCAGCAGGAGAAGGCAAACTTGAACATGACCTGTTGCACTTGGCAAGCTCCCGCGGCGACATGCGCCTAAGGAGACCGTGCAGGCATGGACCGTGCCGACTGCAGTTCCTGCTGCTCCTGCTGATGCTGGGGGGCTTGCTGCTGATGGTGGCCATGCGGCACCCTCCCCCGCACCCCCAGCACCTGCCGCCGGCCCAGGTCATGGAGCACAGCCCGGAAGCTGGGTACCGCCTGGACTTCGGGGAATCCCAGGAGTGGGTACTGGAGGATGACCAAGAGTACAGCCCCCTGGAGGACCTGCCGCCCTTCATCTCGCTGCGGGAGGATCAGCTCCTGGTGGTCGTGCCCCACCCCAGGGCCAGAAGGAACCAGAGCCAGGGCCGGAGAGGTGGCAGCTACCGGCTCATCCAGCAGCCCAGCAGGAGGCTGGACGAGGAGGCTCCAGAGAGGGACTGGGGGGCTGAGGAGGATGACTACCGGGACGTGTCTGAAGAAGAGGAGCTGAGCCCGCTCAGACTCGAGCAGGCGCTCAGCGCCCGCATCCCTCTGCAGAGGGCGCTGCCGGAGGTACGGCATCCGCTGTAAGTAGGGCCCTCGGCCCCCCCCATCCCATACTGGGGTGTGATCCGCACAGGGGAGTGCAGACTTTCTGCTTTCACTGTTCTTAGGGTAGCGCCTCCAAAGCTTCGCTCCAGCACCTTTTGCAGCTGCAGCGGCAGCATCACCTGGGAACTTGTTGAGAATGTGGAGTCTCAGACCCCAGGGCAGAGCCCGGGGTCAGAAGCCCTGGGTGGGATCCAGGGGCCTGTGGTTAACTAGCCCCTTTCGCAGAGTCAGAAAAGGAGGGGCTCCTAACTTCTCCCCTCCCTTTCCCATCCTGTGGTTCTTGTCCTGTCTCTGGGTTATTGGGTCAAACAGTTTTATCTATAAACACAAGGGGATTGGAACAGGTGGTCTCCAAGGGATTTCCCGATCTAACACTGAGGCCAGTACAGCTTGATATGAAGATTGTTAGTGGGGTTTTTTTTTTGGGGGGGGGGGGCGCGGTTGGGGGAGGGGTTCAAAATACCACTCAGCTAACATGTATGCGGCTCTGGCTTTAAGGGCTTTTCCGGCATTAACTCATTAAGTTCTTACAACTGTAGGATGGGTGTTCGTATTACCGTCATGCCTATTTTATCAGTATGAAGATAAGGCACAGAGAGGCCAAGTGACTTCCTTGAAGTCACACAGCTAATAGGTGCCAAGCAGGGATTTGAATCCAGGCAGAAGCTTCAGTCTACCTGAGCTACCACTTCAGTCTGCCTGTGCCACCCACCTTAGTCCCTTAGACCAAGGGGACAGTTCCAGTTCTCAGCTCCAGTTCCAGTTCTGAGCTGATGTGACCAAGCTGGCTGGTGGCTTGACCTCTGGCAAGCAAGCTAAACAACAGGGGTACATGAGACTGTGCCCAGGGAGATGCTAGCCAACCATGGACACCCCTACATTCCTCCCCTGCCAGTGCCCTGGCTGACCCGTGATTTAATAATAAATGAGTTCATGCCAGAGGAGGGACCTGCTTGCCCGCATCCAGGGGCCATTGGCGCTGGTTCATTTGGCTGACCTGGTTTCCTTCCACACAAGCCTCTGCTCTTCACAGAGCACAGAGCTCTTGGGAAGAAAACACACCCTCTAACTTGCCAGGTGAGAAGATTCCTGTAGAGTTGGGAGCTCCCAGGCCAAACTCCCAGGATTGCTGATGGGTTCCCGTGAGCCTGGCTACTCAGCAGCTCACGCTCAGGGTCCCACAAATGCAGGCGCGTGCCCGAGATGGTGTGCCCGCAAGCCTCACTCCCGCGCCAGCCCCGACCCTGCTCAGGCTCCTGGTCTTGGCTTAGAAAGCTCTTCTCAGGAAACTCCCAGGTCCACCTGCTGTAGTCTGTGACCTCTGGGATCTTAATTCTTCTCACTCATTACAACCAAAGATAAGTGGCCATTGACTCCTCGGTTTGTTCCGTGCCTGCTGCCTCTGGCATTCCGGCACAGCACACATTAAAGAAATAATTGCTGAGTAAGCAAACAAAAAGTTTTCAGATTCTTTTGATCCATTTTTCCTGGATCTAGAGCAAGCATGAGGATCCTTATTCTACGAAAAAGAGAGATTGTCTCAAACAAGAGGTGTGTGTGGCATGTGTCTGCATTGTGCAAGCATGCTGCGCAGATGTCCGTGTGGGTACTTGTGTGTTTGTGTGTGCATTGTGTGGCCGTGTGTCTTAAACAGAGGTGCATATGCGTGCATTGCATGTGGCACGGGTGTACAGTGTTCTATGGTGCCTCGTACCTGGGAATGTAGTGGGGTGATGTGCACAGGTGTGAGCTGTGTGACGTATTGTCTTATGTGCATGTGTGTTGTGGGTGCTGCATGTGTGTGCAGGCATGTATTGTGTTGTGCGTGTAGTGTAGCGATCATATACACTGTGCATATGTGTGTTACAGTGTGTGCCTGTGTATTGTGCTGTGGCTGTGCTGTATGTGATGTGCTTGTGTGTGTGCTGTGTGAGGACATTTTTATGTGTGTTACAAAAGTACTATGTGAGTTGTGCAGGTATGCTGTGTTGTGCGGGTGGTGTGAAGTACACAGGTGTCTGTGTATGTTGTGTATATTGGGCATGTGGTGTGGTTAGCACATGGACTGTGCACATACAGACTTGTGGGTTGTGATGTACTGCTTGTTTGTGCTTGCATTTCTGTGTGTAAGGGGGGTACAGTGTGTGTGTGTGTGTGTGTGTGTGTACCACTCCAGAGGTTGCCTCTCCAAAACAGTCAGCCAGGGAACCAAGTCGTCTCAGTTTGCTTGGTACTGTCTTGATTTTAGCAGTAAAGATCTCCAGGATGGGGGGACTCTACCCTCAGTCCCTACAGACCCCACCCACAACCTGATACGGCTCACATGACCACCACCTGCTCTGTCCTGAGGCGTGCAGCGCCCTCTCCTGGCCTTATCCAGTCCTTGCATCCTGTGCACTCAGCCTTGGCCCCCAGATTCTCCCTCCCATCCCGCTGCAGTTGCTGGTGATTCCCCTGCCCTGACACCTCTCCACGACACACAAGGGAGTCTCTCCAAAGCGAGGAAGGGGCCTCTGCCTTCTGTGCTCCAGATGGTGCAGTAATCCCCCCAGATTCCTAAATCAGAGAAGCCAGCTGGCCCCAACTCCTGCAGCAACACCCCCAAACCTGCCCCAACTGTTGCTTGTTCCCCGTCCTAGTCACATACCTTTTCTGATTACTTCTAGAGCCATAGCTGAAGGTCATTTTGAAAAGGGAACATGCCAGGAAAATTACTAATAATGCGAGCCCAGAATGGAAAAACACCGATGTAGAAGAGTCAAAGAGCAGTCTCTGAAAAGCCAACATTTATTGAGCACTTACTGTGTGCTGGGAACTCTGTTGAGTGGCTTTCCTTCACTTATTCTTCATGCCAACCCCATGAGGTAAATAGTATTAGCACCTTCATTTGATGGATGAGAAAATGGAGGCACACAAAGGGGAAGGACCAGGTGATCTGACCAGGTGCATCTGACACCAAAGTCCTGCTAGAGCATGCTGCACTAAGCACCACCCCCCTCACCGGCTTACTGGAGGGGGCTGTGGGCAAGCCACATGGGCTGGAAGCATTTCAAGTCCTTCCCTCTATAAAATGGGGAGAGCACACATGGGTTGACAGGGGATGTTCATCCCAGCATTCTTGGGGACCAAGGAATTGGCCACCTGCCCATCTTATCACAGGGCCTGGGGGAGCCGGTGCAACCAGAGATGCTCTGCAGAGGTCAGAGCAACAGCCAGTGCACAGGACCCCAGGAGGTGCACCTCCAAGGACCCCCAAGGGAAGACAGTGAGACTCAGGAGGTCTGTGGGAGATTCAGGAGACTTGATAACGCGAGAACATGCATTATAACACCATGTACGTGTCAGGCACAGCCTTGGAGCCACGTGTTCACACACTGCATTAATTTCACTGCTAGAAGTCTGAATCTGTCCTTCACCACACTACTGTCCCCCTTATCCAATATGTGCCCTCCCCCCTAACTCCCCGCCGTGGCCCCTACCTTCCGGTAACCTCTAATTGGTCTTCTAGGCCACAAGCTTATTTTTGTTGTATTTAGTTCACTGTTTGTTTTCTCTCCATAACATGAGTGACATACAGTGTTTACCTTTTTTTGTCTGGCTTGTTTCACTGAGCACAGCTCCCTCTCGGCCCACGCATGGAGCTCCTGGATGGCCAGGTGTGTCGTCCTTCCCTTCAGGAACAAATATTTATTTAGCAAGCATTAAAGATGAGCAGGTGGATCCCCGACCCCGAGCAGTTTGGGGTGCACTGGGGGTGTCGACAGGCAGCAGACAGTTACACTGGTGGGCTCTGGACTGAGCTATGGAGACCCACCCGGGCTCTGCTGATTGGGTAGGAGCTGGAGCTCAGAACCCCAGAACAGGTGTCGAGACTGCAGCAGAAGCGTTCTACTCTGGCCAGGCCGGGTTGGTGGGGGGGAGCCTGTGCCGCAGCCAGGCCATCTGTGCAGCGTGTGACTCACTCTTCAGTCACAGTCCAAGTGTGTTTTCCAAGTTCATGGGGGATCCCAAGGCCGCATGACGAGAGGGCGTGAGCTGTGTGTAAACACAGCCCGGGGCTCCCTGATCTGGGAGTGGGAAGTGGGAAGGCTGGTACCCACGGAGCTGCTCTCTCGGGCCAAGATGGCCCCTTGGACTCCAGGCAGCCCTACTGGGCTGGGGAAAGGCATCAGCCTCCCTGGATGGACTAATTAGGGGGGATAAGTAGCAGAGCCAGGATTCAAAGTCAGGCTGATTGATTCTAAAGTCCGTGGTTTTTTGTATCCCCACCCCCTGCTGCCACTCTGGAGAGAGGCAAGTGCGGTGGGAGTGGCTTTCAGACACGTGTCTGCCGTCTGTGAGCGAGAGTGAAACAGTCGCTGGCTAACTGGTGGAAGGACAAAGCAATTCACAGTGAAAAGGTGCACTTAGGCATCTCCACCACTCCCTGGCCCCTCTGGGACACAGCTTCACCACATGCCCAGGCCTCAACAGGAATTGTAGGGAGAAGCTACACCACCAGGTGCATCTTGGAAAGAATCTGAGGTGTGGAGACCCCCTTGTGTGGGCCCCTCGCCTCTTGCTCTCCAGTTTGTCTACCACTTATTTTATTCCCTCAAAAGATGTGAAGACCCAACATCAAATAAAAAAAAATTGCAATTAGTATCACATGAAGCCAAGAGAAGGGGAATATCTTTCAGAATATCTTTCCTTCAGCCCCTGGTACATACCAGTCCCCACCCACCTCCAGGCCTTCGTAAGAGGCTGTGATGCCTTATTAGGATTCTTGTAGGCACAGCGACGCTCAGCTAATCCGCCACTTGGGGACACTCTGTCTGAGGCGTGTCCTGAGGCCAGGCCAGCTTGGTCGTCATCACAGACGCCTGCAGTGTTGGAGATCTGGGGTTGAGAAGACCCCTGTTCAATGAGAAATGCCCCTCCGAGGAGGGACATGGTTTTAACAGCTACAGCCTAGGACACACTTTGGAAATGCCTTTGTGAATGATTGTGAACCGCACACGGTTCCACATATCTGGCCATTGCTATAATTCATCCGCTGAAGACGCTCTCAGAACTCTCCAACCCCCAACATGAGGCACACACAGAACACGCTGTTCACCTGGGAAGGAAGGGGGAGCCAGACGGAGGGAGTGGTAATGCCCTGCACCCGGTGCGCAGCCTGAAACCACGAAGCAGACAGGACCTGTAGGCTTTGAAGACACAATAGCCCAGGCTGCCACTTCCTGACAGTGTGGCCTTTGGTCAGTCCGGCCTCCTCTCCGAGCCTCAATTGCCTTATCTGCAAAATGGGGGGAAAGCAGGCCAGCCCACAGACTGGGTCTCGTGCCAACATGGAGTCACAGGTGTCAGGGACCAGCCCAGGGTCTGGCACGTTGTCATCACAATGCTCGGCTCTTGTCCCATCTTCAGTAACAACAGTAAAGCTTACCTAGCACAGGCGCCGTGGTGGGTGCAGGGATACAGAAACAGCACCCCTGGTCCCAAAGGGATGACGGTTCCCTACATAGGACACGAACTATGCCCCTCGCCCCGCACTCTTCTCATGGCAGCTCTGTGAGGTTGGCCACGTGGTCATTCTCCCCACCTCACAGCTCAGCCCAGCCTATCGTGAGAACATCTGCCGTGAGAGAGGCAGGGGCTATGGAACGTGAAGAAGCTCTGAGGCCTGAGGATGGGGACACAGTGGATGGACTCTGGGGGCATGACACAGGCTCTCTGTGCCTGGAAAGCTTAAGAAACCACAGGGGAGCTGTTGGGGGAGAGCCACCTGGTGGGAGCAGCCCCCACCCCAGGGTCCAGACAGTGGGTGACAGGACGGGGAATGTTTCTTGGGCCTTCTCTTCCCCACGGGGTTCCTGCTTCTCCTGCAGGTGTCTGCAGCAGCGGCCCGGGGACAGCCTGCCTACGGCCAGCGTCATCCTCTGTTTCCACGACGAGGCCTGGTCCACCCTCCTGAGGACCGTGCACAGCGTCCTGGACACTGCTCCCAGGGCCTTCCTGAAGGAGATCATCCTCGTGGACGACCTCAGCGAACAAGGTGGCTGCAGCTCCCCCAGGATCCCTGGGGTGGGCTGATCTGAGGGAGAGGAGGTTTCCAGGCCGAGACCGGGACCTGCTTTAGGCAAGTTTCCCAGGAGGCGAGCTCCTGGGGACCACGCAGGAGCAGGTAGCTCACCAGTGACGAGCCCGGGAGGAGTCTGTCAGGAAGCCTGGGAAGGGGACAGCGGGGTGATGGGTCTAACAGTGTCTGCCTTGATCTCGCTGCTGCTTTAGAGAAAGTCAGCAAGTTCTCTCCACCCTGGCTCATGACACCACCGCTCCTAGTTTTTACTGGAGAGAATCTGGGCCCATTCCAAACAGAGAGGAACTTCCATCTTAGCCACAGACACACCACAATATTGTATGGGTTCCCGGGCCCCTTGTACTCAGCAATGCGCCCAAGAGCGAGCTGTGACTATGAACTCGTGGTGGTCTTCACTGGGTGGCCTCTGTGTCTACACTGACCATCCCCCGTCCATTCCAGGACAACTCAAGTCTGCTCTCAGCGAATACGTGGCCAGGCTGGAGGGGGTGAAGCTGCTGAGGAGCAACAAGAGGCTGGGCGCCGTCAGGGCCCGGATGCTGGGGGCCACCAGGGCCACCGGGGACGTGCTGGTCTTCATGGACTCGCACTGCGAGTGCCACCCGGGCTGGCTGGAGCCCCTCCTCAGCAGGATAGCTGGTGACAGGTAACTCACCCCGGGGGGCCTGGAGCAAGAGATGGGCGTAGGAAAAACGCTCCATGGCCTTAGCCATTCGTCACTCATGTTCCCACCACTCAAGAGTGGTTCTTTGGGTTTTTGGAAGGGAGGTCAGAGGTCTTCCAGTCCATCTTCTTTGTTTTATAGACACAGAAACTCCGAGCTAGCAGGCAGCTCCTGTTAAGTTACAAATACCCTAAGGGAGGGTAACCCCTTACCAGCGTTATCACTATCTGTGCGGATGCTGAATACAATGCCCTCTCTGGCCCTGGTACGGTTACTAAGATGGCACACATTTCATGGGATTCTTCAGAACTCAGCCACCTGGCTTCTAGGCTCGACTATGAAATTCCACAAAATACTTTTCCTATAGCCAACGCCATGCCATCTGCTCAGTTCATTCCACAGTCGGTGGAGACCTGGGAGAGGGAGTGGGTGTCCTCTTTTCTTCCTCGCTTTCACTTTTCTGAAAAGGTCAGAAAAGGTCAGTGCAACACGTCCCAAAACAGTGGCCTCCAGGACGTGTTTCCCCCTTTCCTTCCAGAGGCAATGAGGTGAAAGGGGCAGGAAAAGTATATCAAGACCCTTGCTCTAAATATTAACCCAGGATTGCTCATGCCAGCATCAGTCACTTAAGGTCACAGATTAAAGCAGATAATTGAATCCCAGAGCCAGGCAGGCCCTCTCCATGCAGCCTGGCTCTGTGCCAGTCCTACCCTCTTCTGAGATGCATGAAGCAGAGATGCAAATGGACGGGAATGGAGACACAGCATGGCTGGCAGCTCCCCCTCCAGGTACCTCACTTCTCGGGGACCTTCCCGCCACCTGATCCACTCAGGCCTGATCCATTCCATGGCACAGATCTTAGAATAGTCATGAGAGATCAGAAAAATAATGTGATAGCAATACTGGCTAAATGGAGAGCAGCTACATTTGAGTGGTTATCTGTTTTGCTAAAAGGTGAGGTTTCCAAGGTGAGATTTCCTACACGTCTCTGAGGTCACATCCCAGCTGCACCAAATAAAAGAAGGTCAGGGGCCTCCCTGGTGGCACAGGGGTTAAAGACAGCGCTACCAAGCTATGGCCAGCCACTGCATCATAAGTTCGATCCCCAGCCGGCCAGGGAGCTGACCCACATGGCCCAGCAGACCTCTCCTCTCGCCCGCTGCTCCCCTCAGCAATGTACTTCAGTCAATCTCCCTGTTCTGCTCCCCACTCTGTCTCTGGTGAATCCTCTCACCCCCCGCACCTCTGGTCTACACCCCAGTTCTTATATGCATAAATAAATAAATCTTAAAAAAAAAAAAAGGCAGGCGGGCTGGTAGACACCAAGTGCATACACAAGCCAGGGTCACTTCTGGGGCTTGGCAATCCTGATTTGTCAAGCCAATCCAATTTCATGATAGAGGGAAGAACAAGTACTGGATGCTACAGCAGGGTTGAGACCCCCTAAATTGGTACATTACAATTTTTAAGATGAAGTTAATTTTAATAATGTGTTTAGCAAACCCCAGTAAGTCCAAAATATTATCATGTCAACCTATAATCAATATAAAAATGACTGAGATTTTTCTGTATTTCTGTCGTCTAAGCCTTCTTAATGCAGCACATCTCAGTGAGCTCAGACCTGATCCATTCCATGGCACAGGTTTTAGAAGTGATAGTCATGAGAAGTCAGAAAAAATCACTCACACGGCAGACTATACCTGTAGGGGCTGATAACGCCATGTGGCTGTCCTATCAGGCAGTGCCTGTATGGATTTCGTCTCTACCCCCCAACAGGTGAATGGTGGGTCTCCCTTGTTGATTCCACAATTCTCTCCAGGAGCCGGGTGGTGTCTCCAGTCATAGATGTGATTGACTGGAAGACTTTCCGGTATGAGCCCTCCACGGACCTGCAGCGCGGGGTACTAGACTGGAAGTTGGACTTCCACTGGGAGCCTTTGCCAGAGCGTGAGAGGAAAGGCCTGCGGTCCCCCACTAGCCCCATCAGGTGAGACCCCATCACGAACCAGCTTTTCCTTTGCTCCCTCTGAATAGACCATGTGGACAGCCCAGGCTCCATCATGGATCCACTGGTTTCCTAGCAAGTTACAGAATCTGTACCTCAGTTTCCTCATTAGTAAGTTGGGGATAACAATACTCTTCCCCACATGCCTCAACCCCCCCAAAAAGTACTCCCCTTATAGGCTGGTTCTGAAGTGTCTCCTCTCTCCAGGAGCCCCGTGGTGCCTGGCGGGGTAGTGGCCATTGACCGGCATTACTTCCAAAACACAGGAGCGTATGACCCGCTCATGTCACTACAGGGTGCAGAAAACCTGGAGCTGTCTCTCAAGGTATGTCCTGGACCAAGGGGGGACCCAGTGGGCTCTGCAGCTGGGAGGCAGCTAGTCCTTCAGGACTCACACGATAAAGTCATCACATGAGGGATTCAGACCTCCCATCCCTTTTCTCCCCTTCCCTGTGGCCCACCTTGATGGCACCCCCAGCCTCCCTCCTGGGCTTGACTATCAAGTGCACAGGAAAAGGCAGGTTTTCACTCCCATGAAACTTAGAGCAGAAGTTCTGGTACATTCACAGTTCACAGCACCCTTAGCATCTCAGCCATTTTTCATAGTACCCACTGGCCAGATCCAACACTAAGTGCTTCTGTGTATTGCCTGGTTTGGGCCAGACAACTGACACACTTGTCCTGACAGCTCAGCTTATTGGACAGCACGCAACTTCTCAAACTGGGTCAGCGCGGACATTACCCTCGGTGCTTGTTGCTTTTAGTATGATACTTGCCTCGTCATTGCAGCAAGCTTGGAAAACCCAGCCCCACAGAGACATTCATGATCAGAAGTACAGGGATCAGATGCTGAAACCGTGAATTACCCTGAGCATGTAGTTGGCAAGGTGTCACTGTTTCTCTTGAACATTTAAATTATCTGGGCCCCTGGGGCACCCTGGCATACTCTTTGGGAATCTCAGTCTCGTGTGTTTCCCGTCACAGGCTGCTTATCCTCGGAATATTTCTAGTTTCGTCTTTATTCCTTAAGTGTGGGGTGAAAGGGCTCCTGTCAAATGAATTTTGGGTATTTGGGAGTAGGTGGAAGAGTCAGGGAAGCTGGGAGGCCCCTCCTGCAGCAGTGAAGGGGAGGCTTAGGGAACCCTTGCTTTGCTATCTACACAAAGAGCTTCCGGTGCCTCTGCAGCAGGAGACTTCTTGAGCTTTTGAAATTCTCTGACCCGCTCCCCCCCCCGCCCCCCCCCCCCCCCCCCGCCCCTTTTTCCCTGAGGAAGCCGCTTAAAGACAATAGGGGTGCAGACCCACATGGCCATGTTTCTAGATGCGCTCAATCTGTGCATGTGTTGGGGGACACATTGGGGTATGGATGGTGTGACCCCCTCACCCTCCTGGTTCTATCCCAGGACATCCCTTGTCTCTCCCCTGCCCAGAACCCCAGCCCTAGAAATTCTGCTTCACCTGGAGACGCTACTTCCCTCTCCCCTCTGTGCTCACATCTGCGGTGCAGTGCTGCCCAAGCTCTGGGAGTGGAGGCAGAGGAACTCACTGTCCCCCTCATCGCAGGCCTGGCTCTGTGGTGGCTCAGTGGAAATCCTCCCCTGCTCACGCGTGGGGCATCTCTACCGCAGTCAGGACACCCCCTCCACCCTTGACCAGGAGGCCGCCCTGCAGAACAAGGTTCGCCTTGCTGAGACCTGGCTGGGCTCCTTCAAAGACACCTTCTACAGGCACAGCCCGGAGGCCTTCTCCCTGAGCAAGGTAAGGGGAGAGCACTGCCGGCCTTCCGTGCGCCCCATGGGCCACCAGCTGGAGTCTGGCCTTGCCTCCCACCTGAGGGGAAAATAGAAGCTTCTAGCTCCAGTGTCCCGTGAGTTTCCCCCCTCAAATGGCTCCTCTACCTGACAGTTTGTCTTCTGTCTGTCCCAGCATCTCCACGGACACATGACCAGTCCGGGGGGTGTCTGTGGGGTGACATCTATGGGGTGTGATCCTTCATTGTGGGGCGGGAGCCGCAGGTCTGTGAGGCCCTTCATCCCAGGTCAGGCATTCCAGGTTGTGAAATGACCTAAGACTTGAGACAAATACAGGTATAAAAATAAACATAAAGGATTCCAAAAAAGCCTCAGGGAAATGAAAATTTAAAACAGCTCGTCAAATGTCCTCAAAGGGTGGATTTTCAACAGATCAGCTGATACTCAGCTCAGTCCTTACAGAGCAGAACACACTTGTGACCTCAGGTGAGTCAGGCGCAGGTTAGTGCAGGGAGGGGGGCCCACAGCAAGGTTTCCAGGCCCCATGACAGCCCTAGGGCAGCTCATAACCCCTCACAGCCACTCTGCTGTGGGAGCGGTCTCACCGCAGGACTGAGCCTCTTAACTGAGCCCCTACCTGTGCCATGAAGGGGGCTTTGCCCTGAGTGCAGGGACAGTCTGGCAGGAATTCCCCAGTGGAGGAACCCCAGTGTCTTCTTTGCCCTCCTCCCCACCCCCAGTCCTCAGGGATTTGCCACCTGCTTCTTGATTTTCTAGTCAAATTTCCAGAAACTCCACCCACTCGGGGTGAGGTCTCAGAAGCTAGATGGCCCAGTTCCCTTAGTGGGAACACCCTCCAGGGCCTTCGAGACTGGGGCTCCCAGAACAAGTCCCACAGAGCCTCAGGGCCCTACAGTAAGTCCTGAGGCCTGAACCAGCCCTGGGCCTTACTCCCACGGTGGCACAGGGCGGCACCAACTCCCTTAGTCACTCCAAGTTGGGCTCTGAAATGAAAGGAAAATTCTCACCAGAGCACGACCAACGCAGCCGGCACCTTTGTTCTTTAGTCTCCTCCTCCATCCCTGGGAAGTGGACGGATGTGGTCAGCTCCAGACACCACTCTGGAAGCTGGAGTGTCTAACAGGGGAGCCGTGGACTCCCAGAATAAGACAGTGGGCTTCCATGTTGGCTTTTTGGTTGCATGGTCGTGAAAGTTCCTCAACAAGCCAGTGCCTCTGCGTCCACACGTGATAACCTTCCTTGTGGGGAGGTTTAAACGAGTAGCTCTAGTTTTTTTAATTCACTAGTGGGTGGATTAAACTAGTGGCTCTAATTGAATTAGAAGCTGACAGAAGAATGCCTGGTGCAGAAAGTGCCCTGGTGGGTACCCCCATCATCATGACTCTCTGCTGCGGGCACCACTCAGACAAGAAAGGGAGGGTTGGGGAATCCTTGAGGGCAGGACTTGATCCATTCAGCGCAGGAGGGGCAATGAAGGTCTAGAATTCAGAAGAACCATTTTTAATCTCTTGGCTTTCTTTTGGCCAACACATCTCTTTTTGTCTCTTGGGTTGTCAGGTTGGAATTTGCTCTTTGCTTTTGGAGGACATTTGTTCCAGGCTGAGAGAGGCAGCATTTAAAGGAGCTCTTAGAGCAGAGCTAAATGCAGCCTGAGTTCCCGGGCACCTGAGGAAGCTCCGCCAGGCGAGCACCCATAACGGGGGTGTGGGCTGAAGCCAGCCTGAAAGCAGCATGTGAATTATTTATGGAGCTTCAGCCTCCTCACTGCCATTGTCTGCGCGCCTCCAAGTGCCTGGGCGGCTGCTGGGCGCCGCGCCATGGCAGAAGCTGGGAAATGGCGACTGGCTGTTCATGGGCCCCACTGGTCTGCTTTTGTGCAAAGTCTGTTTACTCGTCCATTTGCTGACTGGGAAACTTTTTAAGTACTTGTTTGTGTTCATCCAAACCTTTTATTCTATTAAATAGAAAACGGAGGCCCCATGAGGGAGTGAGTTGCAAAAGAAAAGTAAGGACATGACTAGAATTGACATGACTAGAATTGGTCCTACCTGCTGGTTCATGTTCCTGCCCCCCCGCCCCCCGCCCCCATACACTAGTCCTTAAATGCAGCCCCTTCCAGGAACAGCCCCGTCCCATTTTGCTGACTTCCGTATAGGTCACCCTAGCACAGATAGTGTGATCTTCAGGGCCAGATGGGGTGGTAAGGGAGTGACATCACCTGTCGGGCTGCTGGGCACACACCTCTCTGGTCCAGGCCTCTTCTCCCAACACATGACCTCCCCGCCCCCGCCTTACCCCACCCCTGTCTGCAGCCCTGAGAACTGTGGTCCCCTTATTCTGTCCTGATCCTTCAGCTCCAGCAGCCTCGATCCCCCCACTGGCGTGAGGCACGAGGAGTCTGCTGCCGAGCAGTCTTCCTCCAGGGCACTGCGTCTGTCTTCTTCCCAGGCGGAGCAGCCAGACTGCACAGAGCGCCAGCAGCTGCAAAGGAGACTGGGTTGCCGGACATTCCACTGGTTTCTGGCCCACATCTACCCTGAGCTGTACCCATCTGAACGCAGGCCCAGGTTCTCTGGAAAGGCAAGGCGCGGCCCAGGGAGGCGGGGGAGGGTGGGCGGCCTCCCAAGATAGGCACTGCAGGTTCGGATGTTCTTCTGTGACCTTGACCCTCCCGCCCAAGCTCAGCAGGGCCTCAGAGGCTTCCATGCCTGCCCTGAAGGAGGCGCTGTGTTGCCCATGACAGGACAAGAGCTTCCTGGCTCCTGCAAGAGGCTTCTTAGGACCGTTGGCTTCAGCTTAAGTGTATTCATTTTGTGAGCCTGAACCTGGCCCCTTGGCGCCACTCCAGAGAGGGAAGGAGAAGACCAGGACCTGGCAGAGGGAGCCCCAGGGTGGAAAGCGGGACTCACTCTGGTGTGCACCTCCATTTTCAGCTCCACAATACTGGACTCGGCTTCTGTGCTGACTGCCGGGCAGACAGGGAGCTCCTGGGCTGCGCTGTGGTGCTGGCTCCGTGCAGTGACAGCCGGTGGCAGCAGGTAGGTGCTCAGCACTCTCAGGGTCTTTACAGTGATGCTTCCCTCTGGTGGCCTCTCCTTTCAGTGACTGCCTGTCCCTTGACAGCCTGAGATCCCCACTGGATGACCTCCCTACTGTGCCCGCCCAGCCCCATGACAGGCACAGACCCAGACCATCGGCAGAGAATGCGCATCTTAGTGCCAGGGAAATGGCGCGGCTCCTCAGTCAATGCTTTCATCTGACAGATGGGGAAACTGAGCTTAGAGAGTGGCTAGCCCAGGGGGTGCAACTCTGATGTCTCAGGGATCAGGCAGTTGAGGGAAATGAGTCCCGGGAGGAGAGAGCTGTGACAGAAGCTGATGCACCATCTCAAAGGTTAGCTGCATTGACACCTGAATATTTTTTTTCTCTTATGGGAAAGTAGATCTTGTATTAGACCACCCAAAATTTTAAAAGACCCTGGAAACTCAAAGTGCATGGAAAAGCTCCCCGTTTAAATTTAAAGACTATAATCGGAGGTCAAGGAAAATCTGTGCTCAGACACCATTTTTGAAGCATCTGGACCAGCTGATAGGTTCCTCAAGTGGAGGCTGCAGGCACAGAAGCACTGAGGAGGCTAGGGGACCCCACAATGGTGTTCCACTTGCAGTGTTCCCCAAACCTGATTAATGATTGTACTCTTCAGACTTAAGTTCTCTGATGCTGAAGGAATCCTGCCTGGGTATTTTATGGGGATCTACAGGAGCCAACACTTTATCCCAGGATGGGCACTTCAGGGTCCCACAGAAGCCTGGTGTGTGCGTGTGTGTGTATTTCACTGTGTGCCTGTATTTACTTGTTTCTCTGTGTGTGTGTGTTTGTGTGTGTATGTATGTCTGTGTGTTGGTATGAATGTCTACGTATGTCTAGTGTGTGTCTGTGTGTCTGTATATGTGTGTGGGGTGTGTGTGTGTGTGTGTGGTGGGGAGAGAGGCGGAATTTGGAGCAGACAGGCCTGATGGCCTCAGGTGACCATCTGTTCCACTTGCCAGAGGACGACTCACACACAGTTGGAGTCATTGGCTCCAGTTTCCAAGCACTGGCCTCATTCGGAATGTCTCCCTCTGCTGCAGCATCTGGAGCACACCGGCAGGAAGGAGATCCACTTTGGTGGCATGCAGCACCTATGCTTCGATGTCCAACAAGAGCAGGTGATTCTTCAGAACTGCACCAAGGAAGGCCCTGCCATCCATCAGCAGCACTGGGACTTTCAGGGGGTAAGCATTTGGCGCTGCATCCTAGGCTCTTCCAAGAGGTCAGGTACATTGTACAAGTACATTCCAAGGACACTGCACTAAGCCAAATAAGCCAGTCCTGTGCCTCTGTTGTTGAAACAAGCGTCTCGGCACGAAGGCATCAGGGAGTGGTTACAACCAACCCAGCAGCAAAATGGGGTCATCGACATCTGAAAAGTAGTATTTGGCACTTCTCTGTAAAGCTCTTACCTTGAGAGTGGCAGAGAGCGAAGACAGTCTCGTTTTGAAGTTTAGTAGCTCAGGTTACAAGCAGCACCACGGAACTTGTTACAAAAGCAGTTGACCACCTTGGTGTGAGGTCTGAGGAGCAATATGAAGGTCCCCTTCATCACCAGTAGAGATTCAGATATGGATAGATATAAATAAGGCTGTTTAACTTGACGTAAAGAAATCAAATTTTTCTTTAGAAGGGGATGGCTAAATTCACTATTAATCTGGTGGGTTTTGACATTGTACTAAGTGGTGGATTTTGAGTAGTAAGCAGGTCTGGTTTTGCAAACTTGCCTGACTGGCCTTCTCTGAATCCTTGAGGAGGGCAGAGATTAAATTCAATCCTTTTGAGGGCTTCCCTGGTGGCGCAGGTGGTTGAGCGCCGCACCGTGAAGCTGTCCGCAGCCTCTGCAGCGCGAGTTCGATCGAGCTGGCCAGGGAGAGATCCACAAGGCGCAGCAGACCTCTCCTGTCTCGCCCGCTGCTCCCCTCAGCAGTGTTTTTCGTTAATCTGCCTGTTCTGTTCCGCGCTGTGTCTCCGGTGAATCCTTTCACCCTCCTGCACATCTGGCCTGTACCCCAGTTCTTGTATAGATAAATAAATCTTTAAAAAAAATCCTTTTGAAAGCAGAAATTTACATCAGTGAGAACACTGAATGCCACCAATACAGTAAAAGGTTGAATATGTTCTATATACTGGCATTCTACCAGCCAGAATTCTCTAAGAAATGGCACAATTACATATCTATAATAAAGATCACTGAATAAATACCCGCCAAGGTTCTGAATGCTACCTAAACTTTTGAGCTACCTAAATTATATTTTATTATATTTTGTATTAACCAAAATACTATTTTTTTACTCAGCCATGTCACATCACCTGTATTATTCTCTTAATAATTAGCACAAATCTTGGGGTATCCTTCTTTGCTGACTTATTGCATGGAACTGAGTTCCTCCCTTCCACCCCACCCCCATTTTCTTCTCTCTTTTCAGAATGGAATGCTTGTCCACATTATTTCTGGGAAATGTATGGAAGCTATTGTGCAGGAAAACAATAAAGATTTGTACTTGCGCCCGTGTGACGGAAAAGCCAGCCAGCTATGGCAGTTTGACCAAGTCAACACTGTGGATGAGCGATGACTGTAGTTATCAGAAGAAAAAGAAGATTTGGGTATCAATGTTCAACCCCAAGGGAATTAAAAGAGCATGAATATTCCACAAAGCGGACGGACACTTCTGCATTTATGCTCCTGGTGATAATAAAGAAGAAAACTCCACAAGTAAATACAGAAAAGTCTTTCCTTCCCACAACTTCTTTTGCTGACTGTTGTTTTTAAATAGGAAAATGGAAAAAAAAAATGGATTCATTGACTTGTTTTCATCATGGACAAGTGATCAAATAGTATAGAAGATGCTTTGTTTCTCTCCGTTTTCTCCACCGAGCACTTAATAATTGCTTCTTATGTCTGACTAAGGAGTGAGGCCTGGGCATTCCCTGGTAGCCCGTCCAGGATACACAAATCCAATCAATCCATTTATTTCTAACGGCCCTACCTTGAGTTGTCTGTGCAACCAACCAGGTCACAGCCTCTGTAAAGAAGGGCTTTAAAGACCTGGCATTCCAAAAACATTGGACAAATACCATGTCCATCAATTGAGTCATATCTCAGAAGAAGGAAAGAAAGCCACTGAAAGAGAAGCAGGGCTAGACAAAAGATAGAAATGAACACTGGCCCAATTCTCCAGCTCAGCCTTGCAGCTGAGTCAATAGACCTGGAATAAGACATTTTCATGTTCATGAGAATTTCCTCAGAACTTTCTACCTCCACTCACCCTGCACTATCCCTTCTCTAGCTTGGTTAAACACAACCAGATTTTAATGTAATGTATTTCTCTCCAGTTGTTGGTGTTGGGAGGGTCTGCTCAGACTGAGCCTTCCCATGGAAAAAAGTAGACACAGTCGAGAAACTCTCTCGAAGCCCTGTTACAGTGTTTGCATTGACTAGATTAGAAATAGCAACCTTTTCAAAGAGGCAAACCTCCCTGAGGGGAAATGTCGTCATGTGAGCCAAAATTTTTATGACAGGAAGCGAAGTTGGTGTAAATGTCCATGAGCACTGACAGGACCATCTCTCTGCAGTATAAGTCTGCCCAGAGGAACTATCCAGGAGTCCCAAATGTGCCCACAGAGGAACTATCCAGGAGTCCCAAATGTGCCCACAGAGGAACTATCCAGGAGTCCCAAATATTCCCACAGGTCGAACATTTCCAACTGTGGGAGAACCCACACCCCAACAAGAGCAGAGTCAAGGCTAGCAGCTCACTCTCCTAGCTGTGACCTGGCCTACCCAGTCCCGGCATGGGAGTTCCTGGGTGCCCATTTCACTCTCCAGGTGATCTACTTCAATATCCTCCCCTCAAAGATGCTGTCTCAGAACACAGTGTGTCTCAAATGAGAAAAACTAGGTAGGAAGTGATGATTTCCAGACTACATTCATCATCAATATGCATTCCTTCCCCTTCTGCATGACAATGGCCTGAGACACACCTCTTCCTCAGAATTCACTCTAGTCTCATTCAAATATGGTAGCCACTGACCACATGTGGCTATTTATGTAATTAGTATTACTAATACTATTGTAAATTCCTTAAAATTAAATAAATTTTAAAACTCAGCTCCTCATTTGAACTAGTCACATTTCAAGTTGTCAGAGGCTACTCAACTGGAGAGCATAGATAGAGAACATTCCATCATTGCCAACAGTTCTATTTGACAACGCTGATGTAGAAAGACTTGTACTGCAGAGAGATTTTAGCCACCATCTTCGTTCAGACCTGTCTATATTTAAAACACATTCCCCTAACATCCTGAGGTTGAGCGGAAACTAAAAATTCTCAGACGGAAACCTTGTAAAGCTTAATAAAAGGTTGAAAAATAAAAATTAAACAAGATTTTTAAAAATGAACTTTATTATTGGCATGATGGGTATTTAAAGTTGCTGGAATAAATTAATATAATTAAATAAAAGGCTGAATTCAATTGTATAAGTTGTGTTTGACAGTAATTAACAAAAGGACCCAGATGGCTTATTGCTTAATTGGTTGAACAAAACAAGAATGTGGTGTTTCTTGCTTCCTTAACCATCCCCATGATTTATTAGTTTATTACAGAAGTGGCTGTCAACCCAATCCCTGGCTGGTATTTACAGACCCTTAATTTAAACAAAACAGATGCCTCCACTTTGTTCTCAAAGAAATCCATCCTTCTCATAGTTTAACCAAGTATTCAAATTCCCTCTCTTTGGCTCAGCTCTGATTTATCCACAATAATCAATTTAAAAGCAGAGAAACATGACAGTTGGAAAATTTGATTCTCAAAAGTTTGATTTTTACTAAAATGTTCAGATTTTAAGACTGGGTTCAAGTTCAACATCATTATTCAGTTTTCCATTGGGAAGGTAGAGAAAATATTTAGTCAACAGGCTAGAGCCCAATAGTCTGCTATGTCACAATAGCAAAAGCAGGTGTCAACCCCGGAGGGACACCAATCTACTCCCTCTTTGGTCTTGATGCTATGGATCCCAACAGCCAACTCAGTATTCCAACTTTCACAGACATCAGAAAGTTCCCCAGGTCCACGATGATGGTGCTGTCACTGCCCCAGACTTGATGTTTCTGCACATCTTTTTTTTTTTTTTTTAAGATTTATTTATTTATTCATACAAGGCAATGGGCACAGTCAGAAGCGCGGGAGGGTGAGAGAATTCACCAGAGCCAGAGCAGGGAACAGAACAGGCAGACTGACGAAATACACTGCTGAGGGGAGCAGCGGGCGCTGCAGGAGAGGTCTGCACGCCATGTGGGACCCTCACCTGGTGGCCGGGGATCGAACTGGCGCTGCAGAGTCTGCGGGCATCTTCGCAGCCGAGCGTTCAACTGCTGCGCCACCAGGGGAGGCCCCCCCTTTTTTAAAGATTTATTTATTTATTTATACAAGCACTGGGCCCAGTCAGAAGCACGGGAGGGTAAGAGAATTCACGAGAGCCAGAGCAGGGAACAGAACAGGCAGACTGACGAAACACACTGCTGAGGGGAGCAGCGGGCGGCAGGAGAGGTCTGCGCGCCATGTGGGACCCTCACCTGGTGGCCGGGGATCGAACCGGCGCTGCAGAGTCTGCGGGCAGCTTGGCAACCCAGTGCTCCGCTGCGCCACCAGGGAGGCCCTTTTTGCACATCTTGTTACTGTGCTCATCTTGAAGGGGGAACTCTTTACTTCTGAGAGGTCATAAAAAAAAAGGTGGACCTTCAAGTGATCTAGGACCAGTTATCAGAGCTGGACAAAGGCAACCACATCAATAGGCTGCCTCGCTGGGCACTCCACCATGTAGTAGTTCCACTATTTCAGCTTCTTCTGTTACAAACTCTTCAAGAGATAACTTGCTTGTGACTACTTTTGGCTAAAGCCCAAAACCCTGTGGGTCCAGTTCTGACTTAGGCGTATTTCAAATCAAATGAAGTACAACAGCCAAGGAAGTGATACTCATAGGATTCTAGAACCCTCTGCTCTTTCTCTATTAATAATAGTCCCTCCAATCTCCAATCTACTTGGGGTTTCAACCTGCTTTTCCATGGTTGGATATAGAGGTCTGTCCTTAGCATTGTTTCAGTACTGAGGATCTTTGCGGGTGTGACATTTTTTCCAAGGTCTGGGCTATTTATGTTTTCTCATCACCAAAGTCTCTATGTAACACCAATCCATGGGCTATCACCACAACTTCGGTTTCCCTGACTTTATTTGGCTTAAAATCTGAGTCATCATGGTCACTTCAACCCTACATTGGTAGCTTGCAAGCTTGGGCCGAACAGACCAAATTCATATTTGAAAATTCAGTACATCAAAATGTCCAATCTAGCTCTTGCTTCCGCTCCTCCTTGTTCCAGGCTATCTACTAACTTTTTCCTATCTTGGGATAAGGACCGAGCGTATCGTCCCTTCGTCAATCTTTCTCCTGGGACCCAACAGCTCAGAAGTCTTTTCTCCAGCCTTGCAATTTGGTGGGATTTCAACTCAGGGATGAAGGGGTGCCTGGTGCATGGGGTGGGACTACTTGTAAATGAACAATGCATGGTATCTGAAGAGCATAGGGCCTCTCATACATAGAAGTTTTTGGGGGGCTGGGCCAGGCCAGGCCAGGTGTGGAACTCCCTCTCAGGAACACTATGATAAAGATTTGAATGCAAGTGTAAGGTGAGTTTGAGAAGCATCAGCAGTAGGATGGGAACGGGAATGCAGACAATGAAAGCTGCATATTCAAGCCAGCTCTCATGGTGGGTGATTAGAGCTAACTTTGCAGAAAACTCTGGGAAATGGATTAGAACATGCTCCTGGCAGCTGCCTTACTGGGAGGTGAGGGAGCTGTGGTATTTATATTCCATCTCTTGTCAGTCATTGCTGCTTCAGGGAGTGATTGCCAAGGCACGCCTGGCCCCATGTCATAAAGCAGCTTTCTTTGACAATGGGGAAAATCTTGGGCAAAGAAATGTCACTACTAGGAGTCAGACTCCTTCAGAAGTGCCCTGCAGTTACAAGGCCAGAGGGAGGTGGGTGGGTCCAGAGTTCTCGGTGTCCATGCTGCAGACTCAGGTGTGAGGGTGAACTTGGCACCTCTTTTTCAGAAGGCCTCTCAATGAAGGAAAGGGTGTTATGCCATCTGGTCACACTTAAGTGAAAGTTCAAAGTTACATTAAGGCCCAAGTTGACCTCATCTTCTTCCTGAGCAAGAAGACAACTGTTTTAGCCTTGTCATGGGTTCTAGAATGTTAGTTGACTGTGAGTTAGCTGAACAGTTGGGATCTGTTGAGAAACTTGAACTTTTTTTTTTAAAATTTTAATTTTAATTTTTTTTTAAAATAATAAATTTTATTTTTATATTCCCCATACAATTGCAACCCCCCCATTCTGACCCCAATCCCTCCCTCCCGCCCCCCACCCTCCAAAAAGTGTCTGTTTCATAGTTTTTTGTTGATTTTGATTTTCACTTTCTTATAGTTATTCATTTTCCTGGTCCCTTATTTAAGTTTTCTAGATTCCTGCTATGAGTGAGACCATCCGGTATTTTTCTTTTTCTTTCTGGCTTATTTCACTGAGCATGATCCCTTCCAGCGCCATCCAGGTTACTGCAAATTGCATGTGTTTATCTTTTTTGAATGCTGAGTAATATTCCATGGTATATATGTGCCACATCTTCTTGATCCAGTCATCTATTTTTGGGCATTTGGGCTGTTTCCAAAGCTTAGCTATTGTAAACAGTGCTGCTATAAACATAGGGGTGCAGGTGCTCTTTGGAACTGATGTTTCTGTGTCCTTTGGGTAAATACCTAGGTGTGGAATTACTGGATCATATGGAAGCTCTATGTTTAGTAGGTCCAGAAATCTCCACACAGCTTTCCACAGTGGTTGGACCAGTTTGCACTCCCACCAACAGTGCAGAAGAGTTCCTTTTTCTCCACAACCTCACCAACATTTGTTGTTGCTAGTTTTTTTAATATGTGCCATTCTCACTGGTGTAAGATGGTATCTCATGGTAGTTTTGATTTGCATTTCCCTGATGACAAGTGATGGTGAACATTTTTTCATATGCCTGTTGGCCATTTGCATTTCCTCTTCAGAGAAGTTTCTTTTTATCTCTTCTGCCCATTTTTTGACTGGATTATTTTCTTTGTTGTTGTTGAGTCTCATCAGCTCTTTGCAGATTTTTGTGATCAGTCCTTTATCATCAGTGTTGTGTGCAAAAATGTTCTCCCAGTTGGTGGGGTTTTTCTTTGTTTTGGTTATTGTCTCTTTTGCTGTGCAGAAGCTCTTTAATTTGATGTAGTTCCAGCTGTTGATCTTTGCCTTCACTATCACTGCTTTGGGTGATGTGTCTGTAAAGATGTCTTTGATGTGCAAATCATGTAGTGTTTCGCCTATATTTCCTTCTATGTATTTTATGGGAGAAACTTGAACTTTCAAACATGAATCTGGTCTGTTTGGGCTGTTTGTGTAAACTTTCAATCTAGGGCTGCTGGAGAGACTTTCTGTCTAGTCCTCAATATAAAGTTGTCTACCTTATATCCATCATCCCTCCATCCCCGAACTTTTAGCCAAGACTTCCATACTTCCAAAAACTGAAGAAAAACGAAGACTCCACACTTGTTTGCTGTGTTAGGGG